AACCCAAGACACACACGAAATGATTCAAGCATGGAAAGTGAACCCAAGCGCGCGGAAATTACAATGCCACACACGACAGATGAATGAATGCTATATTTCGCGGAAGAAACGGCGAAACCGAGAATATCCGGGGTCAAACCGAGCACGCAAGGCTTCATTTTCCAGAATCATAAGAAAATAAGAAAAAAAATAGCCGAAAAATATGCAGTAATACTCATCAATAGTTTGCAGGTTTAATGATTTGCTCGTTTTTTTATGCACTGCTGCAGGAAAAACATTCTGAGAACCCGTGAATCTGTTCATCGGAACCCAATTGAAGTTACTATGACTCTAAAAAGAAATAAATGAATTGAAAACAAATATTTTTAGGTGGACTCTCTCTACAACGTAATTGTAAAGAGAATTTTATTCTAGAGAACCCCTAAGATATGGGAAGAGAACCCCGTCGCCTGTGGGACCAGCACAAAGAATTTTTTTTACAGAGAAAATTTCTGCTGAAATAATTTTTGTAGACAAGCCACCATGTCTTCAAAGGGGTGCAGTGAAGTAGTAAAAAAAATGAGAGAAGTTCTAGATTACAGCAAAAAATTAACAGTAAAATAGAAATTCGTAGTCAGAATTCTCATTATAAAGAACTATTCTTAATGAAAAGTTGATGCTCAAGGCTTCAGAAGTCCATGCACTTCAACTGTTCTTCAATTCGTCTGCACAAAAAGTCCTCAGAATCAGCAATTCTATGTCTCAAGAAATCTTGTTAAAGGGTTCCAATGGCCCCATTTTAAACAAGATTCTAGCGTATCACGTTTTTCTTGGAATAATTTCAATATTCAGAAGAATTATTCTTGACCGAGCCTTTTTTCATTTATACAATAACGCAACATCACGCTATATTTGAATTTTTCATGCGACAAATCCATGCGTATATGAGTTGACACATTTTCATTTTTTGAAGCTTTTTTTGTTTTGCACTAAAAAACCTTCAAAGCAGCCATTCAAAACATCATTGTCTCTGTTTTAGAGGCTACAATGGCTTTATTTCAAGAATTTTCCGTAGTATCACCGTTCTTTTTTCAAATTCAGGCAAATCATTTTTGAGTGAGTCAAAATGTGTTTTTCTTCTCAACTATATTTAACGCGCGTCAGGTTTCATTTATTTTGTCATGTGACAACTTCATGTTATCCAACTAACTCATATACAAAAAGGCCTTTGAGCAGCAATTCAAAGACATCTTGGTCTCAAGAAATCTTTAGAGGTTCCAATGGCTTTATTGTAAAAATATTCCGCTGTATCACCATTTTTTTAAATTCAGAAAAATCATTTTTGAGAGAGTCAATGTGTTTTTCTTCTCAACTATTTTTAACGCGTCAGGTTTCATTTACTTTGTCATGTGACAACTTCATGTTATTCAACTCATATACTGTATACAAAAAGGCCTTTGAGCAGCAATTCAAAGAAATCTTCGTCTCAGGAAATCTTTAAAGTTCCCAATGGCTTTATTGTAAGAATATTCCGCTGCATCACCATTCTTTTTCAAATTCAGGAAAATAATTCTTGGGTGAGTCAATGTTTTTTTTCTCTCTTCAAATATATCACGGGTCAGGTTTCATTTATTTTGTCGTGAGTGATAACTTCAAAGCAGCGTGGATAATACAAAATCGTTGCTGCAGCAGCGAGATTCTCGGTCACAGCTTGCACCAAATTACTCCGGAAAGTCATCATCATCATTAATCCCCACTGAACTCATATATACAACACGGCCTCAGAACAGCAGCTACACACACCAGCTGCTGCTGGTTGCCATGTTGCGAATCTCCCCCCGCGGAAAGAGGAGTCGAGCCCAGCTTTACCCCGCTTAATAAGGCCCTGTGCTAATGTTTTATACTGTACTGCACCGAGCCTCGGAAACCCAGCATGGCCGTTCATCATCAAGTTGGCAGAGTACACGAAAGGCCTTTCCCGCGAGTAATTACCCCTGAAAACAGCAAACAACACAGCGGCAGAACCCTCATGCATAATAACCTTTTGCTAATGAGTCTCGGGGCCGCCTCAAACCCCTCCTTCGAAACCCCCTACAGCTTCCACCAGAACAAGAAGAACAGCGGTCCGGGATGAACTATATACCAGCAGTTTATTGCTCTCACGCGTGCTTTCTGACGCGGGTCATCGCGCATAAATAATTACAATTCTTTAATTGCATAACAAGGGAACTCGAATTAAAAATTAGCGTTTCACCGATCTTCCCTCTCATACCGTATTTTTGATTTTACAGCCGCCAAAGTTGCGACTGTGAAGGCGGCTGTTGATGAAAAATGGTGGAATTACCTTGGAAGACCTGGAGGCAACCCTCGGAATTAATGCCACGTTGATTTCAAGAATTCTGAAGGAAAAGCTGGGCTACAGCAAAAAAAAATCTACAGGAAGGTCGCATCATCTTTTGAGTAGAGAGCAAAACTCTGCCACGGTGAATTTTGTAAAACATTCAAAAATTGTCAAACAGGGCTGGTTTTTTTTGTGTGCCAAAAGAATATGTTTTCCTTAACGAATATTTTTTTTCAGCTTGATTATGCGCCAATTTAATTTATATTCCAAGAACTTTTTTTAGAACCCTCCTATCATGCCTGAATTTAAATTTCGAAGCTAGAATATGAAAAATAAAAAGCTCAATTAACCGTGTTGGAAAATAAATTTGAAGCAATTTGAAAAAGAAAACTGAAAAAATTCTAGGCATCTAAAATATTATTTACCTCGTCTTATGACCTCACATAAGTGATAACAATTTTAATATCACAAGAGAACACGAATTAAAAATTAACGCTTGAAAAATCGTCTCTCTCTCTCTCTCTGCGCCTGATTTGCAGTTTTGAAAATCCGAGTGAATTAAAAAAAAATCAGCTCAACCGCGCAGGGAAAAATAATCTGACGCAGTTTGAGATAACTACAGAATTTCAGGCGTACGAAACATTATTTATTACTACGTCATGGGATTCTTGAAGACTGTTTTCCGATCTCTCAATATCTTGAATCACTTTCACAGAAACAGATGAAAGGATCTTGATTTTGAATGTTTGTAATTTCTAAGAAAAACGCAATTTGCTTGCAATTAAAACAGCGCCTCCAGCACCTGCTGTAGGCTAAAAGTTTCCATTTAAAACGAGTATATCGTCATCCCATATAGTGCTTCTCTTATTTGAGAACACGTGTTCATAACTATTTCAGGACAAGCGAAACGTAGCAACTTTTCCGCAGGAAATAACACTTGATCAACTTCGTAATGCAATTCCTTTCAAGAGTTTGCCATGGAATTCCCATTTTAGAATTTAAACTGAACCGGTGACACGATGAGTCACAGAATCACAATCTCAATTCAAATGCGCACAATAATCGAAACAGACCGTAGAAGTGTAACTTTAAAAAGGGGATTAGAGAATTGAGGACCTTGAATCAGCCGAACCATTTCAAGCTCAGATCAGATAAATCCTCTGATGAGTGGAGCCCATTTGAAAATATACAGTGAGACCCCCAGATGCGGACATAATTGGTGCATCAAGAGTGTCCCTAAGTTGAGTCTTACATTATAGTCTTCCATTATATAATTTTTGATTGGGGTTTTATGGAAGACATATTCTTCAAAATTCCATGAAAAAAATTTGTTTGCTACTTGATCTTGATTCAGTGAATATATTTTCAACCCAATAAGAACATTTGGACCATTGAATAGTAACCAGTGTACAAATTCATTGAAATGTCGACATCTGTCAAAATGACATCCGAGTCACAAGCAGAGAAGGACTCCCTCTGGCAATAGGTAATTTTTTTTAATTAGCTGAATGGGTGGGAAAGTGATGGGAAAAGTACCAACGAATTTTTCTTGCATAGATCTTAGGGTTGGAAATATCTGTTTCTTGCAATTAAACCTAATAAAAGTCAATTTTCCTAAAATGTAATGGCAATTTTTAATGCAATGTCCTCATGTCGAGTCAATGTCCGTATGCTGGGCCTTTTATGATTTTTTATTGCAAAATAAATGTCCCTATGTCGAATTGTCCTCATGTCCAGATGTCCGCATGTGGGGGTCTCACTGTGAATAAATCTTCGCCTTTGAAAAATACAGCTTGGAATAGTAATTCATTGAGACACGGTGTCGTAAAGTTTGAGCGGACATAGATTCATTTACCGTAATTAAAAGTCAGCCAAAAGTCCGCCAGCTTCTGCTTATTTCGCGACTTTCGTCCCGCCGTTAATGAAGGAGTTTATATTCGACTCTTTTTCAGGTCACAAAAACTGCACTAATGTAGCCGTGATTTATTTCAACGTTTCATAGGAAAACAACACACATATCGTCAATTATTTCCCCAAGAAGAAAAATCCGCGACAAAGAAATAATCGAGCAATTTTCGAGCTCAGACGTATGAAAATCATTTTCTTCATTTATACATAGATGTCGTTCTAACCATCATTTCGTTCATAGCTACTTGTTCTAGATTCAATGTTCAATGATGCAATGATATGAGGTGCAATGGTATTATGGAAGGGTGACTCACCTTGGTCCCAGCGACGGTCCAGGCTGACTTCTTGTCGCATGTTGAACTGGTCCATGCCGAAAATACGCAATCCAAACTGGCCTCAAACAAAAGAACCTCACTCTCGAAATTCCACGAATTCCGGCTCGGGATGAACCCTGGCTAGGAAGACGAAGAGGACCCCATTCCGCAGGGATGATGGGCACTGATCTGCTGCCGACCGAGAAATTGCGTATCCCGCGCGCAATTTCGCGAATTCAACCCTTCCATATCTCAAGTCGCATTTTTTGTCAGCCACTTTTGACGCACTTCACTCAACAAAATGAATGTCTGTAGATGACGAACAACCCTCGGGTTTGCGGATGACTCTGGAAAGAAATTACGAAAAAAAAACCAGCTGCTGCAGAGGTCCATGAAAAACTCATTTCTACTGCATGTATGTGCGAGGTTTGTCAGGTTAATCTAGTTTAGGTGAGGTTGCTGGTAACTTACTTGCACACTGATCAAGACAAATGAAGTTCGGTCTGCGGTTCTACATCATACAAATTTAGAATTTAGGATTCATACAGCAACTGAATGACGTTTATATAACCATCCATGAGAATTAGACAACGGGGCTGGCGTTTCCACGCGTCGTTCGAGAATAAGCAAGCGACATCTAGCATCGTATTAGTATTTGCTGTTGCACAACTTCTCCCAAGATGTCTCCATCCATCACGTGAAATCTGGCACATTTCGCTGTACGAGCTCATGGTGAATCAGTTCATTACAATGCGTTCCCTTTAATCCACTGTGAATAAGATATTTCCAGAATCGGACAGATTCCACGTGAGTCTCACTTATAGAGCACCGGAAATGTCGCCTGCATTTTCAATTTTTAAAGTCTTTCGAAGGTCCAACAAATGTTCAGCAACTAATATACATAAAGAGCTATATGCTGGTTCATAAAATTTTTAAATACATTATAAAGCATCATCATTAGTAATTTAAATAATACTATTGAATATTATTTATAAATTTCATTTATTTTATTTATTTATTTATTTATAAGATTTCCAATTTCAATTCATTTTTCTTCGGGTTGTTCCATCTCTTGGATAATCCGGGAACAAGATTCTTCTGCGTACTCGAAAGCCGGGATCTTAAAATTTTTGAAAAATATACGAGTAATTTGTATGTTCGGATGACAAGTTGACAACCAAATATACCAATCTATCTCAACTTTTACGTTTTGAACCGCAAATTTCGAACTTATTCCTCAAAGAGACCAACTGAAATACGCACAATCGTAAAGCTAAAAATGAACCTCTTCAAGTCAGATTCGAATAAGACACCAGCGAAAATTCGACTCCGGGAATTTTCGAGTTAGGGAAACGTACCTCTTTTGGCGTTGAAAAAGGAGAAAAATTACAGGAAGTTTAAATACTGTAAAGGATCTTTCTTGGCCCAAAACTGCTTTGTTAAGACGTTGACAGGATTCTGATCTAGGAAGCAAGGGTTCATTTGTTCAATTATTCTGTCATTTACTTTCATAATGCATCAATTCACATATCTATTTTTTTCATCTTTCCCCTGGGTCACAAAAATAATAGCTAAAATGCATCCATCTGAAAACTTGAGTTATAGAGCTTTAAGGAGGAGGCAGCCTTCAAGTTAATGAGGTTTTTTAATATACATTCTCACTATGAGGGATTCCGGAGAAGGACTAAAAGAAACGACATACGAGGGGTCTAACAAAAGTTCTCGGAATAGTTATTAAAATGGCATATAATTGAGCTGAAAAATAGTATTCTTTAGGGAAAACATATTCTTTGGCACACAAAAAAAATCAGCCCTGCTTGACAATATTTTTTAATGTTTTCCAAAATTCACCCTGGCAGAGTTTTGCTCTCCACTCAAGAGATGAGGCGCCCTTCCAGCAATTTTATTTATTTATTTTTTTATTTTTTGTCGCCCAGCTTTCCCCTAAGAATTCTTGAAATCAACTTGCCATTAATTCCAAGGGTTGCCTCTGCAAGTATTCCAAGGCAATTCTGCCATTTTCATCAACAGCCGCCTTCAGCACAGCTGCCACATTGGCCGCTATACGTTGGCGGCTGTTGATTTTTTATTTATGTGAATTTTCATCAACAGCCGCCTTCAGCACAGCTGCCACATTGGCCGCTATATACGTTGGCGGCTGTTGATGAAACAGCCGCCATCACAGTCGGGAGAATTTTGCAGAACATTCAAAAAAAGTTGTCAAAGAGGGCTGATTTTTTGTGCCAAAGGATATTTTTTCCCTTAAGAATAATTTTTTTCAGCTCAATCGTATGTCATTTTAATTTCTATCCCGAGAACTTTGTTAGACCCCTCGTATATACTGTATAGGGAATCACAGTATTTCACTTCGGGAGGAGCTTGGATTTATCCAGCTTGGACTGAACTGTAAATTTCTTATACCTCGATCTAAGCACGGCCATTCAGAAATACTGCATAAAACACTGGCAAAGTGCGGGTCATGATTTTCCAGCCAAAGAATGAAGAACACTTACTCGAGGTTACTTAATCCTTAAGAGCGGGGAGAGACCCTATATATATGCAGTCGGGCTCCCGCCGAGAAGAAGACGGCCAAGGTCGAAAGTGCGGAAATCATGAGCGAGTTCCTTTTGCTGCTGGTGCTTTGCGGGGTCCTGATCGTTGCAATCTGGTGCATCAGCTGCATCATCGGCCACTTGAAGGCGGTTCAAGACAGACGGACTCTGCTTGCTCGCAATCCTCGAGACATTGAAGCATCCATCCCTAGTCAGTTGATTGTAGTCTCAATCCGAAATAAGGCCCTGCGAAAGTGGCGATATGAAAAGAGGAATTTCATCCTTGATCAATAGCATATTCCGAATTTCTCCAATGATCAGAAATAATCAAATTCAGTCGACATTAGTTCCTTTTTGAAGGTTTTTCCGTTTGACCCTCTGATGGGATATAGGTCTATATCTTGTGTTACACGTCAATTATTAGGAGTTCAAATATTAAAATGAATGAATTGGCATATGTTTAGCTGAAGTCAAGCAGCATAGACCACGTGTTTGATTCAGTTAGTTTTTTATTAACACGTTTTTATTAACTTGCTTTCTTGTCCGTTTGTTTGTCCGGANAAATACAAATGAAATAGATGCGCACCACGTTTAAGGTTATTTTTTGCTTTTTGAAAACGTGGTTTTTTAGATTAATTTTTTAATCTACTAAATTTTTTAAGGCTGTATTTCAAGTTGCTGATCAGGCAACTGATTTGTTTTAAAATTTATGTTCACCAGTTATTGACTGATGTATAGGTGATTTAAATTGTATTTTGTATACTTTCAAAGATGCAAAGAATACTCCAAACAGATTCTGATCCAAGTGTTTATTCCATACTGTCAGGCATAAATCCTTAACAAATAAACATGTTTTAAAATTGAATAGAATTTTAGGAGAATTTGCACTTTAATTAGAATGAATAAAACGACAGAATTTGGCCAGGCTGCAACCAGGGTGAAATTTCACCATATTTTGAGGTTAAATTAATAAAATCCGCCACATAATGCTCAGCAGCAATAAGTGAAGAATTTTGCATATTCCATCCTTGAAATTTCAGCAGTTTAATCAAAACACGCAATCACAATCATTCTATATACGCACAGTGGGCCCTCATATAAGGAATTTGAGTCAACGCATTCATTCCTGCCACGACGAACGACAACGGTGGGAGACTTTGAGCGCCTTTGCAGCGGCGGCGGGCTGTTCAGAGCGTGAGTTGCTCACCTACATTCTAGAGTCGGCGGCGGCGCGGAATTCCACGCAAACTGGCGCCGGCGGCGGCGGCGGCCCTAACCTCGCCGACCCGCACCCGGCGGCAGCAACGCCATCGAGTCATCCCACGCGACGCTGGGGGGACGCCACCGAGATTTGTCAGTCCCTGTTGTCTAACCTGAGGCTCATCATGCCCGCCGCCGTGCAGGATATTTGCATGTGAATTTTTTATTTATTTTTACCCCGAAAAAAAAAAGTCTGAAAGTTTCCGAAAAAGGGGGGAAACCTACGCAAAATTTCCAGGAAAATTGTGGACTAAGGACGCACGTATAGAATATTGAGGAAGTTCCGCGACATTTTTTTTTTTTGCGTTGAATTTGTGGGAAAAATACCGAATTTTTTTTGTTTTTGCATCCAAATTTTTGGATAATGTTAAGTTCATGAACGACACGAGTTTTAAAAGGCTTGAAAGTCCACGGAAATTAATAAGCTACGTAGAATATTAAAGTCTCGCGACATTGTTTACGTTGGAATTGTCGGAGGAAAAATCGAGAATTTTTCTTTTTATATGCGTCTTCGAATTTTGGATAACCTCACGACGTTATAATGAACGACAAGATTTTTCAAAAACTTGCAAATCCTAAAAAAAAAAAAAATCCACGTTCCACTGTTTTCTCGTCTCGAAATACCTCTTAAAGTGGGTTTTGGTAAAAATTTCCAACTTTTCTTGATATCTAAGTGCGATTTGTATTTGGATCACCCAAGGAAAATATTTTAGTTACCTTTGAAAAAAAACAATGATTCAAGAAATTGAATTAAATTCAGATAAAGTCCCATATTCTAACGTTTAATTAACATTAATTTCAATAGATTCACTTTTTCAGATATTGGAAATTTTTAGTAAAAAAATTGGCATATGCGTGTCTTACTTCGGTGGATGAGTTTTGCTTCAAATACTTGGTTGAAAATTGGTGGCGCGAGTCTCACTTGCGAATAATCAAGTTAAGACGGTATATTCACTCGTATGATTTATCAACCAAGAAATTTCAATTTTAGTACATACGAAGAATTTTCGAAAGTCTCTTAAATTACCCATGAAGGTGACAATTTTTTTTTAAATGATCTTCTTGAACATCCCGAAAATGCGGCGGAGAAACGAACAACCAAACTTGACAATTTTGACAATTTTTTTTTAAATACAACGTTGACAATTTTTTCCAAATAAACTTCTTGAACATCCCGAAAATGAGGCGGAGAAACGAACAAGCCAACGTGAATGTCGTTCAAGTACAAGCTGAGCAAGCACCGCCCTGGTTACAGTCCTTGGCTGACATCAGTTATCTAGAGGACTTGATAGGGATTGCTGCTCTGGATACGAGACCGAGTAGTCAAACAATAGTGGATGGCCTGTACACTCCTTCAACGTCCCCACCTGCCTACACTCTGGTTGTGGACGGTGCACTGGACAAGCCGCCTTCCTACTCTGCATTGTTTCAAGAAACCAACAAATCTCGTAAGCCAGGTGATTACAGTACAGTATTAGTAAAGAAAAAGGAAACGTTGCCTTTCAAATGGCCTTTTTGATTCTTTGACCAAATAAGGTGTACTTGAAACATCTACTGCGCAGTTCCTCTAATCAGTTGACATTTGGGAGGGGGGGGGATTTCACAAGTGATGGAAAGACATTTGAACTGTCATGGGTCCATTTGATCCCAGATGAAAGAAATTGAATTGTGCAGCAATCAGGATGCAAGTTTTGAATAAGAACTCAAACTCTTTTCAGAGGAGTTCATTCTCATTCTCCAGATTATCATTTGGCTGTTAATGAAATGATTGTTTGGAATGGCATAATCTATTGTAAGATTGGTTGGTTTGCTTAGAAGAATGAATAAGATGATTTAAGTTAAAAGGCCCTTTTAACACTAGATTATCTTACACCTATTATCTTATTGTTTTATTTATCTTATAGGTTCGAACCATATCTGACAAATTGATAATGAGGAAAATATGAGTTTAAGCAGAGAAAAATAATGCATCAAATTTGGAGAACTTCAAATGCTAACAATTTCATATTATTTTAAGCATATGTGTTCCTTCTTCAGCAACTTCTTCCGGAGATAAATTTCTGGGATGATTATACCATACAGTCAAGGTTTTATTAAAGAAATATTGATCGCAGCATAAAATGAAAAACAATTGGAAATCAACTTTTTTTTGTGAGTTTAGCTTCAGTTTGTTAAATAAACTTCTAAATGCTGTTCCAATAATTTTATGACTGAAATCTGGATTGCTTCTCTCACATTAGGAAATATATTTCTCCTTAATTTTATTCCTAAAAACTTTCGTGGGAATTTTCTCAAATGTAGAAAATTTTGCATGACAATATGAACCGTGAGCAGGAATTCTGTTTCTGAAATATTGTTTCTTGTATTTTTTTTTCAGCACGAGACAAGATGTCAACCTCCAACGAAGAAAGCATTCAAAACATCATGGCGAATTCCAGCTGCAGCACTTCCACTAGTGCTGCTCGAGTGCCACCAGATGGCGCTGACACCACATTAACCTCTCTTGCGGGCTCCGCTCTGTGCATTAAAGAGTTCGATCAACACGCTGAAAGCGTTTGAATCCATCAATATACAAGAATAATAACATTGATAGTTTTTTTTTATTTTATTTGTGGAATATAGTTGGGAAATTCGTTCGCCTTTCGTGAAAGCTTGCACAGGGTTTTCTCTCTTTCCTTTACCTTCTTTTATTCTTTGTAAAAAAAAAAAGGTGGGGGAGAAAGACATGATGGATAATAGCCTGCAAAAGATGCTGTTGGTTGCAGCAGTTGTGCTGGCATCTCTCCAGGCAGGAAGTTGCTTGAAGTGCCTCCACTGCATAGGCCCTGACTGCGACCGTGTTGGCAACAGGTTTTTTTTCGCATTATTGTTGAAGTGATGTACGTATCGCTAAAATTCTCGTATAGTGAGAAATTCGAGGGTTGCTTGCAAGTTTCGCCACTCTTGTGCTACTCTTTTGTCAGTCCAGACTCTCCACAGAGGTACCATAAAATAAATAGGGCTCATACTTTTTTGAAAACTGTTCTAAATGCTCACCTGAATTGAAACACTTTACCTATGAAGCAGCTTTTAAAGTGTATAACCCGACCTATTAAGAAATTCAATACACCTTCCAACTTTCAAAACACAGCAGCAGGGCAACGACGAGGGGATTTTTTTACAGGTACCAATACCTCGTATATAAAGGGGATCAAGTTGCAAGAGGAATAAAAGCGATTTGAGAGGAGGGGAAAGTCTCTAAAAATGCACTTCGCTTGTATACGCAATGTTCTAAAATAATCAGATGCAATTTCATCGAATAGATACCGAAAATTATCGGGAAAGGGTATCGATCCGATTTGCGTAAACCAAAAATTCACTCATATCACCCGAATGTGAATAATCAATCGACAAGCCGACGTCCAACAGCAGAAAGATAAAAATGATTGCTGTTGGTTGCAGCAGTTGTGCTGGCATCTCTCCAGGCAGGAAGTTGCTTGAAGTGCCTCCACTGCATAGGCCCTGACTGCGACCGTGTTGGCAACAGGTTTTTTTTCGCATTATTGTTGAAGTGTATCGCTAAAATTCTCGTATAGTGAGAAATTCGAGGGTTGCTTGCAAGTTTCGCCACTCTTGTGCTACTCTTTTGTCAGTCCAGACTCTCCACAGAGGTACCATAAAATAAATAGGGCTCATAATTTTTTGAAAACTGTTCAAAATGCTCACCTGAATTGAAACACTTTACCTATGAAGCAGCTTTTAAAGTGTATAACCCGACCTATTTAGAAATTCAATACACCTTCCAACTTTCAAAACACAGCAGCAGGGCAACGACGAGGGGATTTTTGTACAGGTACCAATACCTCGTATATAAAGGGGATTAAGTTGCAAGAGGAATAAAAGCGATTTGAGACGAGGGGAAAGTCTCTAAAAATGCACTTCGCTTGTATACGCAATTTTCTTAAATAATCAGATGCAATTTCATCGAATTATCTATGGCTTTTAATAGCCCTTTCCCATAGCTAGGCTAAACGCATTTGGTTTTTAAGTGAGTATAGTGGGCTTACACTTATTAGTTAGCTGTTCGGCTGCAGGTTGTCGTCTTTCTATTTTTACTGTGCCAAAGAAAATGCATCCGTCGGATCACGTTTAAAATTACATTAAGACCCCCAGCACATGCGGACACCTTGACATGCGGATAATTTGACATAGGGACACTTATTTTCCTATAAAAAATTAATGAAGGCCTGACATGAGGAAACTGAGTCTACATAGGGACATTTTGTGATAAAATTGCAAATAAGTTTGAGGCCAAATTACAATAAACAGATATTTCCAACCCTAAAATTAATGCAAGAAAAGTTCTTGGGCATTTCTCTCACCAATTTACCATCCATTTAGCTCATTTAAAAAAATTACCTCCAGCAAAGAGGGACTCCTTCTCTCTTTTTCACTTGAATGTTATTCTTGCAGAGAATGGCAACATTTCTATGTACCGTACAGAGGTATCAGTATTAAATTCTCTAAATATCCATTTTGTGTTGAAATGTATTGATTGAATCAGTTTAAATTGGGAGACAATTTTTATTTTGATAGAATTATGGTGAGTATTTTTTCATCCATAAAAAACCAATTAAAAATTAAATAATGTAAGTCTATGCGAAAATGAGACTCGACTTTGGGACATTTCGACTTTGGGACACTCTTGATGCACCAATTATGTCCGCATCTCAGGGTCTCACTGTATTTAATTTTGAAAATAAATAAACAAACTTCCGTTTGCACGAATAATAAATAAAAAAAAATGAAAAAGAGAAAAAGAAAGAATAATGTGTCGGATCAAGTTGCAAATGGGGTGGGGATTAAATGCGATATGTGTTGTGCAGGTTCTTCACCGACTGTGCCCAGAATGGGCAGGGGATTGATGAAGATTGGAGAGAGCAATGTGTCACAGTGTTCCACAAGAACTACGAGATGGATGAGGTGGAAAAGTTCCCGACATCGGGTGGACATCCGTACTTACTACCGACGTCAATGCAGCCACTGTAAGTAGTTGAACAGGACAAGTCAGGTTAAGAGTTCCCCACTCCCTAAGGAGGTAATAATTTTCCCCTTTTTTTTTCCTTGTCCGCGAAAAAACCGCGTCATCATTTTTTTCCTCCAGTACCAAAGCGATTCGAAAAAATACGTAAGAAAAGCATTTATATATGCTTGAGAGTTTATCGTCGCCACATGCGACGTCTGAGTCGACCGATATGGTATTTAATTTTTCACGTGATGAAAAGTGAAGCACTTCGAGGAATTTTTCTGGATGCATTAGTTCCACATGAAGTCTTCAAACTCTGGAAACTCCAACTTTTTTACAATCTGCTTTGAAGAATCACGTGAATTTTTCAAAATTAAATACACTCCGAATTGAAGACGTGCACTGCAATAACTTTAATTTTGATTTCATAATCGATATGACGTGGCATTATACTTTGAACAAGCCTATATTAGTTGGTATCGATGAATAAATGACTGAAGAACATTCAACTTTCGAAAGGTGTGGTTTCAGAATCATAATGATGATGCAGCTAATTTTCCTTCATGAAATTATTAAAAGTCACATTCAATCTTACGAGTAGTTTTTTTTTAAATCGATAATGAGTTATTAGATAAAATCTTGATCCGTTTTATTACAAGTTCATTGCGTCGTACGATTTTGACGCACTTCCTGATTTTAAATATCTATCATTCTTTTGTACTTCGACTAATGTGACTTGGAATACTACACGCTCGTTTTAAGAGTTTTGTGAAGATTTCACAGAAAATAAGGGGTTGTCTTTATAAGGCTTTAAATGAAGCCGGGATAAAATGAATAAACCCATTATGGGTTTCGTTGAGCAACTCTGGCAGTAACAATAATTAAATAAATGGAATCGTTTAACTAAACATCTTATAACCTGAATTATGGGCAACTAACACTACTCTCTTGTAAGAATTTGAGATTTTATAACTTACTTGCAACCGATTAGCGAAATTTTAAAAAAGAAGTTCGACACGAAACCTCAAAAGTTAGACAACAAGTAATATTTCTCTGTTGACTTGAGTATAATTCGGATTATAATTCATATCAATCGATGTATAGTTATCCATCGAAAAAAAATTGCTCCTCTGAATAAAATAAGCTTCTTCAGCAATCAGCAAGCCCACCAACAGGACCAATAAATCCCTCAAAATGGATATTCTCCTACGATCGCCGAAAAAATATACTGTATTCTGTTCAGGTTCCAAGGAGTGTAGTGGAAACTATTTCTTTTACATGCTCTGTATATACATTTGAAATGTTATGGCGAGAAGATTTCCAGTCACGTCGCAAGGTGAATATGGAATTAAATCAAAAGGCACGGGTCTATATATAGTAGGATGAAATACTTCGGCTCACTGTTCGTCTTTGGCCAACATTCCCATTCTTTATGATAATATACATTTTCGGATCTTTTTAGGATCCCCGGGGCGACTGTTTGTCTATGCAGCCGCGACTTTTGCAACGCTAAGCTCAGCCAAAGGCCAAGAACTCAGACTGGGGAGTGATGGAATGCTGGTCGACACTTCCTACTTCGAAGTTTCATGGGATTATTCAAATCACCTGGTTTCCTTATTCAAAAGTGTCATTGAACTCAAAAGGGTTTATCCTTCTTCTTTTCGCAATGTTCTCCGTGTTTCTTATTCGAGATTATGCGTTTCATTTTTTTAAATCTTGCATTAAAGTTTCACGTGCGTGGAATGACTGGCTGGATATTTATTATTGAAGAAGTGAAACTTGTCACAAAAATAAATGGCAGTATTAAATTGGTCACACAAAATTAGAGAACCCAAATTCTCAGTAGAATCTTCTTTCATTTCATCTCTGCGAGAATCTTGAAAGACCTTGGTTCTCACATTTCTTTCTGAGCCTCCAAGGCCACATTTTATTGCTAAAATCCTGTTGCTGTTTTTTTGTCCTTGAAGGACAGTTTTCCAGTTTTCCAAATTGGTGAGAAAACTTCACTTCCATTCAAGCTCTTGTGCAATTCACTCAACAATTTACGTGTAAAACCCAATTTGTGTGTGATTTGAATATTTTTGAGGTATAACAACTTTAAAATAGGGTGAATTCTCACCCCAGTCGCAGCCCAAACACATTCTGTCATTTTATTTTTTATAAATAAACTGAAATTTAACCCTTTTTCCTCAACATCTATATTTGTTGAGAATTTATTCCTGACATAACTGACTCAGTAAAAATAACAATTTTTCTGGGTAAATTATTCCCAGATTTAATTCAGAATAAAATGAATCAACTCAGTACGGTTTCGTTGAGCAAATGGCTGTCACAATTTAATCGAACGGATTCGTTTGATTACACGTCCAATATCCTGAATTACGGGCAAATAACACGGCTCTTTAGTAAAAATTTTATAATTTACAGCGCCATT